ATTATCTTGACATCCATCAAAATGAATTGTTCTAATCGCTTTTCATGATCTGAACATCAGTGGTTCACATTTACCTGATTACTGCATTAGCTAAACCCTTGTATGCAGTATATTTTGATAGATCAAAGCAAGATATCAGGGCGTTAATGGTACAAAAAATGTTTACAAAAGCCCACAAATTTAACTATAACAAACAAATTTATTAAATATATACACGCAGAGCACTAAATAAATATTTAACATTGAACGCAAAAAAAAAAATATACTCCTTGAAACTTCCCATGGCATTGAAAGAGTTAATTTACAAGACCCATGTGTAATGTATTTATTTATTTTTGTAAATTTCTATTTGTGTTGTGCATGGATATATTTTGGATATTTCACATTTACACGATATTAAGTGATAAAGATTGTGATATAAGTTATTAATGCGAAAAACTGCGCAATTTTAAAAGAAAAAAACAACTCAATGTAATAGGATTATAGCTACAGGTAAAGTAAGGAGACCAGAACATTAACGTTGAGAGCATTTTCAGCACGAATTATTAATATAACAAGCTATAAAAGTAGGACTGGTTGATGGTGTGTGATTCAATTTCGAGGGACTCCTGCAGATTTGAGTCATACCCGGGCTGGGATCTTCTGCTACCCGATCCCCATCAAAAGCAGAGCATAGTCCTGCTTAATCCAGAGAGGCATTGACAACCCAGGGTAACCCAGGGTATTCATCTAAGGATATTGTGACACTTTCTATGCAGCCATTTTACCACCAATCTTTTCAAAACTCCGCATAGGTAATTTCCTTTTTAAATTTTTTTAACATACATTGCAATTCAAGTATAAATTCACAGATCCTGCCACAAAACACACTAATATGTGTTCAGCAACATCTCCTGAGTACAGTGATTCCACCCATGCATAGGCTTGTCGGCTAAAAGCATCAGCTGATCAGCTAAATCAACACCCCCCATGTGCCTGTTATAAGTCCTGATGCGAACAGGTTTGGTCTGTACTCTGCCTCGGACAGTGACGTCTGACATGCTTTCATCATGGATAATGGTTAGCATGTTAACATCCTTCCTGTCCTTAAATTTTATTGCAAGCACTTCAACTTTGCGCAGAGCTTTACATTCACCTTTTTATTTTGGCATTTTTTCTCACAGTGCCTCAGGCCAGTATCTGCAAACCATAAAGAGTTTGAAACAAACGAACACTGCTATAAACATTGTCCACATAAAGGTGGTAACCTTTATTGAACAAGGGGATCAGTAGGTCCCAAACAATTTTCCCACTTGTCCCCAGAGAGTCAGGACAGCCAAGAGGGTCCAGTTGACAATCTTTCCCCTCATATACACGAAAGACAAATGTATAGTCACTTTCACGCTCGCACAGTTTGTGGAATTTTACGCCATACCTAGAGCGCTTTGAGGGGATGTATTGTTTGAATTATAATCTCCCTTTATATTTAATTAAGGATTCATCAATGGATATATTTTGCTGGGGAGTATAAACTTCAGAAAATTTGTGCTGAAGATGATCTACCAGTGGGCGTGTTTTATGAAGCCTATCCTATTGGGGGTGATCTCTGGGGTGACAGAGGGTACTGTCATTAAAATGTAAATATCTTAGCAGCAACTCATATCTTGCTCTAGACATGGTTTGGAAGTACAATGGACTAGAACAGATAGGCTGGTGCTCCAGTAAGAGAGAATTGATGGCTTCTTTATAATCCCCATGAGCATTGTAAGAGCCCAGAATTTTTTAAGTTCAGTCACATCTGTGGGCTGCCAAGCATGCTCCCTTACTGCATAGCTACCTGGATTAGTATCAATAAATTGGGTAGCATATAAATAAGTCTGGGAAGCAATCTCCTCCTAGATGGTATCCCCTAAAAATAGCTCCATATATTGCACAGGGGAGAAGTCATCCACATTGACATAAATGTCTGCGTTGGCACTAAAAGGGGGGATGTTGGGCTCAGCTTACTGTGGAGGTACCCAGTCCTCCTTCACATTCGGCATAGCAGGGAAAGCATAGCTTCTTTTTGCAGCTGGCTCATACACAGATGACATGTCACTAGACGTGTCCGAAAACTGACCTGGGTCAAAATCCGACTCAGTGTCAGTGGCATCAGAGTCTGACACCAAGAAGGCTGATGCCTCCTTCAAACTGTACATGCCCTGCATATTTCACCAACACACTAACTGACTAAACAAACAAATTTCTAACACACAATTATTATTATTTTTTACTAAAACTGATAAAAACAGATTAAAACAGACTAAATCAGCAATCCCTAAACAAACTCCTGTAAAAAGAATCTAATGGAGATTTAGGGGAAGGAAACTGACAAACTAGGACAGACTAAGACAGACGAAGACACAACTTTTTAACACAAATTTAACCCTCAAGGGCAAAAAAATAATAATAATACAGACAGTACATTCACTTTTTTTAAAGATTTGGCAGGGAAAAGGTTACAAAGGAATTTTTATTAAGTTTTGATACTTGTTAAAGTTTCTGGAACACTTCTGGCAACAGTGCTGGCAACAAACTATCACAATCTCTGTCTCTCTCCTCACAAAACACTACAGAGGGCAGAGATCACTGTCAAAATGAGTGATTGTAACACCCACTTTGACAGCAGCCAATTGTGAGTGATCGCATGTCGCTCACACGGCGTAATTGGCTGTTACTATCTGTCTCGCATGCCTGGCAAATAGTAATTGCGGGATTTCGCTAGTTTTCCATTATGACGGTTCAGGACCATCACCAGACCTCAAAGGTATATTTCCGATGACGGTCCTGAACCATCAGCAGTCCTAAAGGGGTTAATAATAATGTGGTATTATATGGTGTTGTATGCACATTAACATCACAAAAATTATAGTTTAATGCATAGTGTCAATGAAACAAATTAACATGGTAAATATTTACCTTAGTAAAGTAAGACAAATGTGAAATATGTTTTAACCACTAAATATAACCCCTATGGTGGACATATACATGTGTGTATATATATCTAGATTGTAAGCTCGTTTGAGCAGGGTCCTCATCAACTTATTTTTCCTGTAACATTTTGTAACTGTCTCATTTATTGTTAAATTCCCCCTTTGTAGAATGATTTCATGCATGGCATACAAGGTTTACTTTCCAGACATACCAAACATACCCCAAACATCACATGCTTCCCCACACTATTTTTCTCATCTCACTGTCATTTACTCTCCTCTTTTGAAGTTATTTCTATCCATATTTTAAATCCCATCACTGCTCAAACTGCTAACATCTGCCTCAAGGGATTCTGTTGTAAATCATGTCTCTTCTTTGCTTCCTCACACTTTCTCTTCTAATAAGCCCTTCTGACTTCAACATCCAGATTTAACCAACAATTAGCTCAGTAGCCTCAATATTTCTTTCAATTACTTCCTTCTGTATCCTCACATTGTTGACTAACACCTCTACAGATATGGCCAGTAATAATATCAACCTCATATTCTCCAACCTCTGTTATTTTTCCCACCTATCTAACACATTTATTTATTTATATTTATTTATAAAATATTTTACCAGGAAGGATAACATTCTCTCGTTTTCAAGTATGTTCTGGGTCCACAAAACATTGCATTGATACAATAGGGTACAATAAAATACAAAAACAATATATACAAAATTTAACATAGAACAGGTAAGAAATATATAATCAGCCATGACAGGTGCATTCTGTTTTGAGATATGTAGAGAGGGATCTCTTAAAGGATTTTAGGCCTGGGGAAGATTTGATGATGCACATAAAGAGTTAAAGCACATAGCAGTTACACATAGTGCAATGCCATCTCTAGCAGTATCATTAGCAAGTCAAGAATGAATGTTTTGGGCTGGCTAATGTCAATTCTGTGCATATTTGGTGTCTCTCAGCATGCCAAGCACCGTAATGGTGGCATGGCTCCCCCTCCTTGCCACCCAAGTCCAACCCTTAGCCTCTCCTTGTCGTTACTGAAGAAGGATTGGGCTGATGGAGAACTTGGTTTCAGCATGAGATATAAAAGTGAGTTTAGCCTTATTTCTTTATTATTTTTTAAGGGTGTAATGGGAGTATGTCTACAAGGGTAACCTCAACACAAAGTAGTGCTTTTTTAGACCACTGTTTCTTTTTTTTTTATTAACTCTTTAAATACTGTAAGTCACTAGTTATTGCCTCCACCTTTAGGATTATATTTTAAATACTGAAACTAGCCTATAAATCTCTCATTTACTTCAGCCCGATAAATATATACCTTCTCTAATTCAGAAATACATCCCTACTCAAACACTCCTTTACTAGACCTCTGTTTACACCCACAATGCTAAGGATTTTTCAAGCACAATCCTTGGGAGACAGCCAACTTAATCACTAACCTGCAGTCTTTTAAGACATCTCGTAAAATACATCTCTGCAGGAAAACTTATCATCATCCTGGGTAATGTCTCTCTACACTAGTCTGCATGACCTCTTTTCATAACCCGCAGTTCCACAGGCCATTTCCCTCTCTCACAATTCTACTCTACAGGTTCACAGATTTATTTTGTCCTTTCTTTCTTATATCTGATTATATTTAGGTATCACATCTGGTGATCTCTCCTCTAACATGCTGCTCTTTATCTTTTTATACTTATTGGAGATCGTAAGCTAATTTGAGTAGGAGCCTTTCCCATTTTGTTTCTATTCATCTTTGTTTTTCACTTGTCCATCACATAACACAACAAACACACTAATCGCTGAGCCCCCCCTGTCTGTGTTTCTGATTATTATTAATGAATAGGGATAACATCTGTTTTAAAATAATACTGTATTAAAAATATTCTTGGAGTTATTTTGAGTATAAAGATTGACAATGTAAATATGATGATGGTAATAGAGATGTTTCAGTAGAATGAATTCCATGTGTATAAGAACTTCTGGTTAAACTTTTATTATTAATTTATGAATCATTCCTTAGTAGTGATGTCCTGAACTGTTCGCCGACACATTCCAGCCAATCAGCAGCAGACCCTCCCTCCCAGACCCTCCCATCTCCTGGACAGCATCCATTGTGAAGCTGCATTCTTAGTGAGCTGTCCAGGAGGTGGGAGGGTCTGGGAGGGAGGGTCTGCTGCTGATTGGCTGGAATGTGTCTGCTGACTGTGAGGTACAGGGTCAAAGTTTACTCAATGATGAGTCCATGGCGAACTGTTTGGCGAACAGTTTGGCGAACAGTTTGGGACATCACTATTCCTTAGCAAATAAATACAACAGAGCTGCTTTTAAAATAGAAAAGGTCTAAAAAAACATGGATAGTTTGAACTAAATTGTACTACAGGAACTTTGGCTGGGCTGTGTTATTCAACCCCGATTAAAGTAGCTTATTGTGAGTGTCAGATTTTCACACGGAGTAGTGCCAGTCTTGGCCAAGTTTTAGTTGTAGTCCATTTTAACAAGTAACACACCAAATGGGGATTCTCTGGTTCTCACTAACAAATCTAAGTCGAAGTTTTGCTTAGTGTACTAAAATAAAATTATATAAAATGTTCTGAGATTCCAGGTAAATACTAATACTGAAGGAAAAAATATGAATACAATGTTAACTATACATTTTTAACCAATTTGAGAAGTTGGCTAGCACCATGTATAGAAGATATTACATTGAATTTAAAGGGATATTATGTTATTTTTGCACGTTTTATTTTAATCTGTTTATTTTAATTTGTTTTTCATTTGTGCATCCCATAACACAACAAACACACTAATTGCTACACACCCCTTATGTGTGTTTCAAATTATTATTAAATATAAGGAAGAAAATACTTTGACGAACTGAGCCTCATCACGTCTTCTTGGAGGGGCCCTCTGGCCAGCCTCTTACCAAAAGACTATGGGCCCTTTAAAAAACTATGTGAAAAGACTCTGTGCAATTGGGATTATATGGTTCGGTTCCTGACAGCTGCACAAACCAGAGACCACCCGGGAGCTTGTTAAACCCTATTAACACTTAGTAAAGATTCTAACCGCAGTGTTCTTATTGTCTGTTTGGGTGGCCGCTGTTCGTTTGAACGGCCACGAGGTGGAAGAAATCTTGTTCACATGGACGCAGCCAGCGGTGTTTGGTCGTCGAGTTCCTGGAACTAAAATCGTACACAGAAACTCCCAAACACCGATGGACTTCCATCATTGCCTGCGTTCGGTTCTATACAATTTAGTAGGGCACTGAACAGTGGAATCATTCGTTTGGATGAGGGGAACAAGCTCCAGGGTAAGAACATTGACTATGTTCGGTAGTTTGTTCGTTTTTAAACTACCAAACTAGACCGACCGCAAGCCCTGTTTCTCTAGAACTGTTTTGTGCATGGGACCATGCATGCGGTCGGTCAAATAAAATTCCTGAACCCCATAACTGATCAGGGTGAATTTTGGATATGTTGTTCACCCAAATCGAGGCTACCAGGGCATATATTTTTTTTTGTGGCGGTTTTGTGTGTTTAAATGTGTTATTGGGGTTTTATAACATTTTATGTTTTGGAGATAATTGGATTAGATTAGTACAGTTCCTGATTCAGTTATCTCCTAGGCACAGATGAGGGATTATTTTATTTGTGTATGAGAGTGTCCTGGACCTGTATGGTTGTTTTTACTGTAGTCTAAGCTCAGATCCAGGGGGGAGTGCCCCTTGCATGGGGACCAGCATATAAGGCCAGTTGTGCCTGCCATTAAACAGATTTGTTTTACCCTTCATGAAGTCTAGGCTCATGTTTGGAGTATTGGAGAGCTATATTCACACTCTGGGGATTGCTATAATCACTATATTCCCTTGGATAACTACACTTGCTCTTGTAAGAGCAACCTGCTTCACTCTCTGAACTAGGAGAGGTCTACCCAACCAAGTTTAGGGTGGGTGGAGGACAGAGAGACCCCAACCAAGCTGTGCCGATTTGTGGGGTTTACGGTGGTTATGGTGTTTCAGTGTGGTGCTTATGGTACTCAAGGATTACTAGGAAGCAGCAATTGATGGAGGTACCCAGTCAGGTTGCCAGGCGGTCCGTCACAAATACATTTTAAAATTATACTCTTTTAGTAGTCTTGTTTAAAGCCTTCCTGAAATGCTGATTCTTCTGCATGTACCTGAGAATGTAAAATAGCATGTCCATGAAGTTCAGCCTTTCTCACATCTGTTTTTCCTGTTGATCCAAAAGAAGGCAAAAAAATCCAGTTTGGAGCACTTCCAATTTTGCAATAAATTAGGAAAGAATTCCTTCTTAACCCCAGAATGTCAGTCAGGCCTCTTGCCGGATCAAGAAGCTGTCACCCCTCATATTGAAAAGGTTATCCCTAAACATTTTGTTTTTCCAAGTATTCAGTCAGTTGCTGTTTAAACATATGTTCAGACTCTGATAAAACCACCCCTTCAGGCAGAGAATTCCACATCCTGTTTGTTCTTATAGTAAAAAAAACATTCCTCTGCCTTAGACTAAATATCCTTTCTTCCAGTCTAAATGTGTGACCTTCTGTCCAATGTAGAGTCCTGTTTATGAACAGATTTCCATACAATGGTTTGTATTGGACTGATTATATTTGTATAATGCTATCATATCCCCTCTGATGCGCCATCTTTCTAAACTAAACAGATTTAAATTTGTTAATCTTTCTTCATAGCTCAGGTATATACTAATCATGCTTTTAAATTGAAAGCTCTGTAGGACAGGGCCCTCTTCACCTACTCTTCCAGCATGTCAACTAGGTTTTGTTAGAATTTAATGTGTATTTTGTTTACCTATTGTACAGTGCCATGGAATATGTTGGCGCTATGTAAATGATTGTAATTGTAAAAGGCATTAAAATACATATATCAGGATAGGAAGCTCTTTCCTACAAATTTACTCTTTAAGTTCTATTGAAATGTGTCTTTATATGCTCCATTTTATTGGTATGATATTTTTGTAAAATGCTTAAAATAATTAAAATAATATGAGCAAGAATAAACAGTTCAAACCACTTGCTTTATTTTACACCAGTGCTTTCTAAATTAGAAGCTTTAGTTCATTCAGTCTTGGTTATGTCAAACTATCTACAGTAGAAGCATACTCCAAATTGCCATTGTCACTTTGCCCTAGTTCCAAATGTGTTTTTCTGTGAAACTAGAATGTAGTAGGAAATTTATTACAAAAATCTATGCCAAGTGACATGTGGGTCACTGTCAAATGAGAGAGATTTTGCAAATGTGGAGGTATGTAAGAAGACAGAAAGCTCTGCTGGATAAAATAATTTGCTAGGATCACTCTAAATGACCCAGAGACAGACATCCACCTCAATGTACAATATGACTAAATAGACGATATTCCAATAATATTTTACATTTTATTTTAAAGTGGCAGTAATATAAAAAGTAATATGTAAATATAAAAATATTTGTTCCTTTCTAAACACACTGTCTAGATCAGGCTTCACCAAACTCCGGCCCTCCAGATGTTGCTGAACTACAACTACAATGATTCTATGAATGGAATAGATAGGCTGAGAATCATTGGAGTTGTAGTTCAGCAACATCTGGAGGGCCGGAGTTTGGGGAAGCCTAGTTTTGATGAAGAAAGACGTTTTAGTTTTGATCTAATAAGATTGTAAACCTCTGTTTTTTATGAGCTAAACAGGGTCATACAGGACCGCACTAATGGGCTTAGAGCTCAGCATTAGATATACATAAAGGGAATCAACACAGTAAAGGAGGAGACTATATTTAGAAACATAGAAAAATAGAATGTGACGGCATCTAGTCTGCCCAATTTTCTAAATACTTTCATTAGTCCCTGGCCTTATCTTATAGTTAGGATAGCCTTATGCCTATCCCAGGCATGCTTAAACTCCTTTACTGTGTTAACCTCTACCACTTCAACTGGAAGGCTATTCCATGCATCCACTACCCTCTCAGTAAAGTAATACTTTCTGATATTATTTATAAACCTTTGTCCCTCTAATTTAAGACTATGTCCTCTTGTTGTGGTAGTTTTTCTTCTTTTAAATATAGTCTCCTCCTTTACTGTGTTGATTCCCTTTAAATATTTAAATGTTTCTATCATATCCCCCCTGTCTCGTCTTTCCTCCAAGCTATACATGTTAAGATCCTTTAACCTTTCCTGGTAAGTTTTATCCCGCAATCCATGAACCAGTTTAGTAGCCCTTCTCTGAACCCTCTCTATGGTATCAATATCCTTCTGAAGATACGGTCTCCAGTACTGTGTACAATACTCCAAGTGAGGTCTCACCAGTGTTCTGTACAATGGCATGCGCACTTCCCTCTTTCTACTGCTAATACCTCTCCCTATACAACCAAGCATTCTGCTAGCATTTCCTGCTGCTCTATTACATTGTCTGCCTACCTTTAAATCATCAGAAATAATCACCCCTAAATCCCTTTCCTCATATGTTGAGGTTAGGACTCTATCAAATATTCTGTACTCTGCCCTTGGGTTTTTACGTCCAAGATGCATTATCTTGCACTTATCCACATTAAATGTCAGTTGCTACAATTCTGACCATTTTTCTAGTTTACCTAAGTCATTTGCCATTTGGCTTATCCCTCCTGGAACATCAACCCTGTTACATATTTTAGTATCATCAGCAAAAAGACATACCTTACCATCAAGACCTTCTGCAATATCACTAATAAAAATATTAAAGAGAATGGGTCCAAGTACAGATCCCTGAGGTACCCCACTGGTGACAAGTCCAAGCTTTGAATATATTCCATTGACTACAACCCTCTCTTGCCTGTAACTCAGTCACTGCCTTACCCATTCAACAATATTGGAATCCAAACTTAAAGATTGCAGTTTATTGATAAGCCTTCTATGTGCAACAGTGTCAAAAGCCTTACTGAAATCTAGGTGAGCAATGTCTACTGCACCCCCCTGATCTATTATTTAAAAGAAGAAAAACTACCACAACCAGAGGACATAGTCTTAAATTAGAGGGGAAAAGGTTTAAAAATAATATCAGGAAGTATTACTTTACTGAGAGGGTAGTGGATGCATGGAATAGCCTTCCAGTTGAATTGGTAGAGGTTAACACAGTAAAGGAGTTTAAGAATGTGTGGGATAGGCATAAGGCTATCCTAACTATAAGATAAGACCAGGGACTAATGAAAGTATTT